TTCGCCGGCCCAACGGGCCAGAGGCGTGCTAAGATCTCCGATAACTACTTAACAATATTTTTAATTCGCGCGCGCGGGGCGGCCCCTGGGGGCCCCCGGACGACAAGTACCCCGGCCGATCCCTGGCTGACCCCCGGGCGATCCCCAGGGGGGGGCTATTTTTCGCTACCCCTCACGAGGTCGTGGCCTCCGAGGGGGGGGCCGCAATCGACTACCCCCTCTCCCGCCCCAAGGGGCCCCCAAGAGCCCCCCAAGAGGCCCCAGGGGGAGCCCAATACGCCGCCAAGGAGCCCCAAGACGCCCCCAAGAAGCCCCCAAGACGGCCCCAAGAGGCCCCAAAATAGCGCTCCAGGGCCGGCGGAATGAGCGAAGCGATTCAATAACTTCTCCATGTCGCACCCCGAGGCAAGTTTTTAGGGCGGGCCGGGCGTTTCGTCTGTGACTTCCTGATCATGTATGACTCCGGTAGAAGGAAACAACTAGTGACCCCCCCCCTGCCCCCCAAACTCAAAGTTGGCACGCGCGGGGGGGGACTGCGGTCGAGGTGCAACTCATCAGACCCACCACCAACTTTGAATATTGGGGGGAGGGGGAGGCGTTCACAGATGAATGTGGCATGAGTGTTCCCGAGGCTTGTGGGTATGTCACCTGGCACGTGGCTCTACTCTAATTTATGTTTGCACGGACTGCAAAAGATTGGAAAAGGAGTAGACGAGAGGAGGGATCAGGGGGAGGAACGAGGAGTGCGGAGGAGTGTGTAGGAATGAGGTGGTCTGAGGAGGAGCTGGAATCGATGGGGAAGAGGACGGAAGAATGCGGACGAGGAGTACGGAGGAGTGCGGACGAAATGCGGAGGAACGCGGAGGTGTGCGGAGGTGTGTGGAGGAACGGGTACGGATGGGGAGGAATGCGGAGGAGGGAAGAAGAATGGTCAGGATCGGAACGAAATTGGAGAAGAGGGAAGGAGGAGGAGAGGGGAGGAGCGGGAATCGATGGGGAGGGGTGCGGGGGAGTGCAGAAGAGGGCGGAGGAGTTGTTAGGCAAGGGATGGACGGTGGAGGAGTTGGGAGGAATGGGAGGAATGCGGAGGAAGATGGAAGACTGCGGAGGAGGGCGGAAGAATGCAGAGTGGTGGAGTGCGATGGGGAAGAGTGCAGAGGGCGGAGGAATGCGGAGAAGTGGGAGAGTGGGAATGGGTGGGGAGGAATGCGGAGGAGTGCGGAGGAGGGTGGAGGAGGGGTTAAGAATGGAATGGAAGGTGGAAGATGGGACAGGAATGGGAGTCGTGCGGAGGAGGGCGGAATAGTGCGGAGGAGGGCGGAGGAGTGTAGAGGGGGGGACTGGGCTGGGGAAGGGCGCGGAGGAGGGTGGAGGTGTGCGGAGGAGTGGAGGAGCGGGAAAGGATGAGGAGAAGTGCGGAGCGGTGCGGAGGAATGCGGAGGAATGCGGAGGAGTGCGGAGGAGGGCGGAAGGATGGTTACGATTGGAACGGAGGGTGGAGGAGAAGGCCCGGAGACCCCAAGGGTCGCCTGGGTATCCTTGATGGATGGGCTGGTGGGGATAACGAGAAGCAATCGGCGTTCAGACGGCACGGTGGCTCCACACCCCGGCGTGGCTGGGACCCCAAAGCTGCTGACGGGTCGCCCAGGTATCGTTCATAGATGGG